TTTGCAAAATTAAAAAGTTTAAACGATACAGCACAAGGAGTTAGGTAGGCCTTAGTACGCGTATGAGAGTGCTGTGTGTGAAGAAGACAAAGAAGCAAGAAAAGTTTCGTGTAAGAGCTCTCAAAATGTTGTTTGATCTCATACGTATCTTATCCATGTTTAAAGTGGAATAGAATATCAAATTAGAGTAATTTAAACAACCTGACCTTTCAGGCTGTTGCTCATGATTGAATATGAATGTAATTGTTGAGCTTGGGTTCATCGAAGGACAACCTATCAAATGGTACACAGTGTCCATAGTTACTTTGCATAACACTCAAAAAAATTTTTCCCAGTTAAATCTGCTGTCAATGATGAAATAGGCCTGAGTCCACCACTCGGGTCTCTAATGCTGAACCATCAATGGTGTGGAATCCAGGTTCGCCACACAGCTGCGCAATCTGCAATGGTCACGTTGAGTATTCTAGCTGGCCTAATGTATGTGGAACTCACAACTGGCGCATGCGCATGAGAATCACATAATTATTGACCGGCGACGGTCTCTCGCTAGACGCATGTGTGCGTACATTTAAAACCGGGCACGTCGTGTCCGAACGCCCATGGAAAAAATTCAATTGGGGACAAACTTATTTTGAAGTGTAGCATTTTCTTCCTCGATCAGTGTCATAGTAATTCAGGATGCCGTATTTACGGAAGATTCACGTAGGAATCTTTAGGGATACTTATGGGAATCATGAACATGGTGTCCGTTTTATCGCGGGCCCCGCTTACAGGCTAACGAGCGGACGAGCGCCGACGTCAATCAGCTTTTCTTCATTTTTGCCTCTGAAGAAGTCTCTTTTCGTCCAGCAATGATCCCGTTCTGCGCAGTTTTGCAACTAGCTTCTGAATTGTCGATTTCCTTGGGATTGTAGCGCCAGAAAATTGTTGCCGGAACTTTGCTTTACCCTTTGTATATGTTTTATACATTAGGTGCGAGTTTACGTATAAGTACAGGTAAACTCTCTTCTCGAGCGAATACTTCACCACAGGAAACCAATCGATCTTCAGACTCAGACTGAAACGACAACGGCCGGACGGAAAATTTACAAGTTTGCTGCCGAAGCATCCGTAGTAGCACATAACATTGAAACAGCATCGATTCAACGTTGATTCAACATCCGGACATTGAACCGACATTGAATCGATGTTGATTCAATGTTATGTGCTCCTAGGGATCGCTCTTTGAGCAATCTGTCAGAGTGGGGCCTGCGATAAAACGAACACCCTGTAGAAGCGTGATTTTTATTTACGCTTCACTTTACTGCCAAGTATGTTTGTCAACATGTGGTGTGCATGTGATGTGGACTGCATCGGGGTGTAGAGAACATGACTATTTCCCAGTCTGATCAGACTGGGACACACATGCACATATTTGTTGCTCGACCTCACAAGCGGACCTCGATTGCTTTGTGAGGCCCTCCGGCTTGAATTAGAAAAATAATCCACGTGACATGTGGAGCATTGTAGGATGGACATTGTCCATCCTACGTTTTCAAAGGAGTTTCAACGTTTTCAAAGGAGTGAAGCTGAGGCATGCTGTCACGAAAAACTCCGTCATTCTGCAATCCTACAATTATGCAATTATGCATTTTTAGTGATGGAAACCGCACGAGGGATCGTCGGTGATGGGTTTCCTTGCGATACCTTTGTGAACGCAAGTGATGACGTACTCACGAATCGCCCGTATTTAATCAGGGACGCTCTAAATCTCTGAGATTCACGGCAGTGGGCGGGAGGCACAGCGGTGAGCGATGTCCCCCTCTCCTGACGAGTTCCTGGCCAACCCACGACTCTTCCTCCATCCTGAAGATGGCGAGATTATAGTGAATCTCCGACATTCCGGGGCAGTTTCCCATTTCCTATTATTAATATTTAAATTTCTTTCGCAAAGACCTATCCTCAGATAACAAGGACGATGGAAGTGAAAACCCAAAGTTCATCTCTGGAAATGCAAACAAAAGCACATTTGTCGCTCGGCCTGGCGTCAGTCAGGATCGCGCGCGCTGTATGTTTAACCTCCGGTTTGAATAAGTAAAGAAATGCAATAGTCTGACTAGGGAATGCTTGAAATGGATTTTCAGGCTTGCTTCATCTGTCATATTCATCTACACCGAAAATGGTAAGTTAAAAAAAAATGCATTTTCTTGGTTTCTTTTTCCATTTTTTTTAGGTTCACGAATGTATAGAGAAATGAAATTAACTCTCCAATGAAACTTCTTAATGAATGAAATATTTCATCATGATATTGTTACTGTACGACTTTTTCGTGTCGTAGTCCGTCGTGGGGTCCTGGTGGAAATAAGGTGACAAGGGGATACGGTGACAACAAAATAGGTGTTTTTATTCTTTTTCTCTACTCATCCAGTATTAAAACCAATTTTTCTGGGTCCGAAGGGGCTGCGGGATCCTGGTGTTCGGGGGCCGGCGTCGCTCGGGTTCTTCCTCTCGGAGGGTCCCACTTCACTGTCGTGGATGACCCTAAGCTCTCCACACGAACAGCGGTAGAGAGGGGGGATACGCGGTTACGTCCCACGGAGGAGGGCTGCTATTCTCTCTCGGGCTGCGGTCTAGCCGGGCCGTCGCAGAGAATGTTTCGACCGTACTCGGCAGGGCTTAGGTCGAGCCTGATTTCGGGTTACTCCGGGTCGGCACCGTTCAGGGCTTAGGTCGGGCCTGACTTGATGCGAGGAACCTTACTTCACAGAGCTTAGGTCGAGCTTGCTTTTGGGTTCAGGATCTCAGCGGGAGGGAGCTATTCAGGACTTAGGTCGAGCCTGACTTTTCCGACTCGCTTTCCCGGGAGTCCTTCCTGGGACCGGCTTGCGAACGGCCGTGATGTGGCCGTTCGTTCTTGCTGGTGACTCCTCAGCATGTTGGGTTGGAAGGTATGCCGTACTTTCTTACTTTTTACAATATAGATCTAAAAATAACTCTATGTAACTATTACATCGGGACCAGCGCATATGTTTTAATCTACTACATATCCTGAATGGCTAACACCGGGGCTCACTAGTGACACCTAGTGGCGGAGACTGTAAACGAAGGTCAGGGGTCAATCATCCCACGCGGGGTCGCATATTTGCTATTCTCTTACCGTGACAATATTATTAATCTAATTGTATTCTTCATGCCGGTGGGGATTTTGCAAATGATTTAGTTTAAGAAAACATTTCTGCATTTTCCAAGGCGAATTCATTTACTCACTTCATTTCATTAAGCAATACATACACTACATGATCGATTAATGTGGCATCTGAATAATGAAGTACCCTTAATTCGCTCAAACGTGCTGAATCGCCGTTCCACTTAAGATTGGCTCATGGCCTACCGAATATCGTTGAAGAAAAATGCAGATTAGCGCCTCTGCCACCCGAGGGAAACTATATTGGTGTCGGATTGAAAGGACATTGCAAAGAGACCGCTTGCCCCTCCCCAGATGCAGTCTACACAGCCTCTCGATGGAATTCGATCTAGTTCTCCAGTGCCTTAGGAAGTTGAACACAACCACTCCAGGTGGGATCCCCAGGCCCTTCATTTATGACATCGGTGATTATAATGCCTATTAATTTCATGTTTATTAGATTCAAGTTGGTGTAGTTAAAGAGTTTAAATGACATTTTATGGGCTCCAGTTACTACTTTTAAGGGAAAGACAGTTCGTTTTCGGTGTTCATTCCTTAATTCTTAAAGTATTTCATGTGTGTCAAGTATGAGAATTGTCAAATGAGACAAATACCACTCAACTTCTGGAGAATAAGAATATACCATACCCGGCATGGGATGTGATGATGTTCACATGAATGAAAAAGATCAAGTTCCTTCTTGAGACATGTTCTTAAAATTTTCCTGCCATATATTATTAACTTCGTTTTGCGTCAGATTGACCTACCTAATGGTTCCTGTGATCCCTAATGTGATTGTTGAAAATGTACATGGTGTCCATTCTTTGGTAGCTCTACCGTTTGGTGTACCTTACGTAGATTCTAATTTAGAAAGGTTAAAATTGAGAAAATACAGATGCAGTGCCTTGAAACGATACCAATCATGAAGACAGCAAGGACGGGCTATCAACCCACCTACTTTTTTTTAGTTATTTTTTGGTTCGCCTTGGGTTAATACGCAATTGTTCGATGTATCGCGTCACTTATCACCACTTCAGCAAAGGACTGATATACTGTCATCGTGTCTCCAACTACGCTGGCGCGCTTTAAATTGCCTTGTAACGTTTATTTCGGACGCTAGTATAACAGCGAATGGGTAACGGAAACAAAGTCATTGCAAACTGTGTGGATTCACGTGCGTTAGGACTAGTGAGGCCTTTTGAACAGTTCCATGAATTATAATGTAATTGAATTTTTTAAGTCAAAAGAAACAAAGTTGATTTGTGGTTGAAAGGGTTCTGATGAAAGAATGAACTTCAAGCCCTCTAGGGTTATTTTAGCTTCTTCTTATCGAATTATTGATAATTTCGTTCCCAATGCAATTATGTATTTTAAATTTTGTTTTTTGGAAAGGAGGCGTCTGTCCAAAGAGTAGGAATTGTGAGGAGGGCAACAGAAGTGCGAAAAAAACATAACTGGAAATACGCATTTCCTCTGGAATCAAGTACTTTGGGAAAATAATATTTTATTCCCATGTTACATGCTTGCACTACAGGAATGCCCGCCACGAATACTATTTGCAACAATTCTAGTAAAATAATAAATTAAATGAGAGCCTTCTCTTCCTGTAACTCGCGAAGAAAAACCATACTCTGGTTCTGACTGGCATCCATGCATTACTTTTTTGAGAATGAGCATCTCAATGTGCATCTTCCTCCATCATTGGACCCCTTGGGACCTGCATAAGGGAATGTTCAAGTAGACCCGACGTCATAGATGGGCAAAGTTTTGCAGAGTGATTCAAAGGTGTAGCAGGCACGAGACTAATAATTTGCAGAACAAGGATTGCCTACAAAAACTACACCTTTAGAAAATTGCATATATCATTCAATGCTATCCAGTCATCCTGAGAGAGGTAGTCGAGTACAGGGGATGATTCTTGAATGCGATGAAGGAGAAGGCCCCTCCGCTCCATTTCAATCCAGAGTGCCATCCGGCTTCTTGTCACTGGGATATTCCCCTCCTCGACAATTGTGAGGGTGTGAATAGCTCGCGAGATTGCCTCCAGCATCCATGAGTCGTCAATTCCCACGCACATCACTCGGGGACTCTCACATCCTCGATATTCTCTTGGATGGAAGATCCGTAGCCTTTTGTTAAATGTTGGCCCACTCGCCTCATTCTTCATGTTGAGCGCTTCAGTAAAGATCGCTTTTGTCTCATCGTCAGAGATCAGCACCACCCATTTCTCCTGCATTTGATGCACACATTTTTGAGAGAAATCAGGCCATATTGCACTTTTATACCAGGACTAATAAGGGAATTACAATTTGCATGCCAAATTTTATTGATCAATATATGTGCCTCTCCTAAAAGCACATATCGTATTGATATTTCATTGCATGACGCCTACGAAAATAAGAATGGGAAATTCCGAGTTTTTCAGAGAATAATGAAAACACCCAAGCCAGGCAATGCATAAGGACACATTACAAGATAGAGGTTCCCAGGATCGACAGGCTTCCATGCGCCAAACCAGTATAGTGCAGCAACAGTATGAAAATCCGCTATGGCATAGAGTTAACTGCGTTCATGGGCATCTATGTTTGTTGTATTGGTCATAGGATTATTTCAGGAATATTAGCGCATGCTATCACTCATGTACTCTATGATGATTTCTTTTCTTTTTTCAATGCTAGGGGACTAAATACTGAATTCCTCTCTCTGTGAAATAAGAATGTCAGAAGTCTGAAGCACAATAAGTCAAAGGGTAGCAATTTCGGAAGATACGTTCCTATCCAGGAAGTTATTAAAGCTACTGAACTAACTCGTTCCTGAACCTGTTCCCATTCCTATTTAGGGTAACCTGTCACAAATTCCTCTCCAAGGCCTCTACCATTTACATATTACAGCTGTAAAAGTTGCACCTCAGTGAGATGAATTCAGAGAAGCATTATGCATAGAATTCCTGCACTCACGTGTATGTGAGAGTGGAAATAAGCAGCTGCAGTTATGGCGACACATCCTCCACCCGAGCCACCGAAGCACTTGAATCCCCCATGATTATGTGCCTGGAGAGGAGGTGTGATGAGAGTGGGTTTCTCACCAAACACGATGGAGGTGGGATGGAATTTAGTGTTTAGGACCCTTGGTCCCATTCTCAGCTCCTTGGGGGATTCATGTCTGAGGACATAGTCAAGAAGGCTCGGAAAGCCGGCATCTCGGCATCCCTCTTGGACCACGATCCCTACCTCTGCATGGGATAGGAGAACATTCCTGCTTCATTTGCAGTCAGTAACCCGTGCAATGTTCGCAAGTAACGGACCTCTCTCTTGTGCTAGGATGAATGCATAATTCATATAGTAGGGTCAAGTAAACATGATGATATAAATTAAATGTACGTAATGTACTGGGACTAGGGGCAATTACAGACATCTCGTGAGAATGACTTCGTCCTTGGCTGAACTGATTCATTGCCTTTGTGACATTTTTTTATTTGTAAAATGGCCTCCTGACCTGACGTTTTATTGGATGAAATACTGTTTTTTTTTTCAAAAAGCGCCTTTCAAATGGGGTTCAACTAGTACCGCCTCTTCGATTGAGGGAAATGAGATATTGGTGGTGCCCTCTGACAGCATTGACTCAATCGAGTACTGATATTATTTCGCTGATGAGAATATTCCGTGGAGATCTTCATTCATAATAATTTTTTGCAGCTACTTCAACGATTCAATTACTGATGAAATATTTCCTGTCAGAGGGCTCCCGGACAGCAGCTTGTCTTCGGTAATTGCTTTCCTTTTTGTAAGAAGCGGGACCATTTGAACAAGCTGAAGAAAAGACTTTGTCCCATGAACCGTGGATCTCATTCAGGCAAGCACCAACTGAAGAGGCTCTCTTCTAGGTGTGGACAATAATGGAATGAAGGATCTGGTGTGTCAAGTGTTCTTCAGGAGGAATTTCTACTCAGGAGAACTTACCAAATACCCGAGGTGCCCTAAACGCATTAAATACCAATAGAGTAGAAAGAAACTTACCCATGCGACTTGAATGCTCATTCAATCAATGAAAGGGCGTGATCGATTTCCCATAATTTCTTAGTGGAAAGTATATAATATTTCGGAGTCGCATTAGTACTCCATAATGAGACTATGACCTTTCAAGTCTGAATATAAATGCTCTTAAATTGGGTGTTACTAAGACTGGAGCGATCGAACCAAGCTCTGGCTGAGAATTTTTTTTAATTTCCCGCTGATTGGTTCCGGAAGTATTTTCATCTTGAAAAAAAATAAAAATCACACGTAGTGAAGGAACTGTGATGAATAAGCTTTGACACATGTTGGAACATGGAGTGCATGGTGCTTATGAAGAATGGGGAAATGCCAGGAGGTTGCATGTAAAATTATTTCAACATTGTCTGGTTTTGTAATGTAATTTTCAAATTATTTTCAGGTTAACATTTGATAGATTGCCTTGAAATAAAAAAAGATTCTGTTTTCATTACTCATGTTATGCACCCTTTATCCGTTCCTCCACACCGTATAAAATTTGGTGATCTTACCAGGAACTGGAGAAATTTGCAATTTTTTCACGAATTCATTCACATTGAAGGTCGTCGTGTGATGCTGGATGTATGGCTGGAAGGCGATTGTGAGAGAAGCGAGATGGTCAAGATATCCAGAGACGAGGTGAAGCATACACTTTAATTCTTCTCCTAAACTTTGTGTATCAAGGCATTCTCCAACGTCTATAGGATGAACTGGGGCATCGTCAATGACCACATGGACTCTCGGTACCTCCTCTCCCGCCATCTGATGAATCTTTACCAGAAGTTCGGTAATGACTCCTGGGGAAACTTTTCGTCCAAGTCCATGCTGTTCCAGCAACACGTGGATGTCAACGACATCGACAGTGCTCTTCAATCCTGTCAATCTAATCTTCTCATTTATGTCAGCCAAGGAGAGGCCACTTGGATATATTTCCCGATCCCACCTGCTGGAATCAACGAAAATGCATCTGTCTTGCCCTGGCGAACTCTCAGTCTGTCTCTTGAGTCTTCCCATGAGATATGCAGTCTTCCCTGAGCGGTTCGGTCCGAAAACTATTTCAATACGTTTTTTCCCAAATTCTGCGAGTTCAAAGTTAGGGGGATCATCTACTTCCCTTAAATTAGTCCATGAAATATCTCGATCCAAATCCAAATCCAGCAAATCCATTTCATCACTCAAGGCATCCTTCGCTTTTTGACCATGTTGTCTGAGGGAGTAGGAAGTGATAAGTCCGAGCCGTCCAGGTTCTTCCCAATGTCTAGAAGATAATTGTCGGTTAGTGGTGATGATGTGGAGAGATGTTCGGGCCATGCTCACCATTCGGGACCACGACTGGTAGGAGGAGTATTCATCGTCCAAGAGGATGACGTTCTTGAATGATATCCCTGTCACTTGGTGTTGATAGAGGATGAGAAATCCCGGCATGGAATGTCCTTGAAGTATCCCTTGGGAGTCGAGGAAAGCTACTTTTTCCTTCAGTCGCTTTCTCAATTCTAATGTAATCAAGTTCCTTTCCCAGCTTGTCCTCGTGATAAGAGTGAAGCATCCGGAATCTTCGGATCCACGACGAACCCAATAAGCTGCATCGGAGGCCCATAACGACACCCATTCGTCTTTGGTGCCATTAAGAGGAACGTTCACAAAGATCACTTTTGGGGAAACCTCTACGAGATCTTCTTTCTGCTGAAGTCCATAGTTGAGACCTTGCATGGGCAGGTGCAACATACATTTGAATTTCCTCTCAATGAATAATGAGGCTTCAAACAGAAATTCTCCAAGTTCTTTGGTTCTTCGATCGAGTTCCGTCAGCTGCTCCACCTTGTCTTCTCCCAAGAGATCGATGACTCTCTGAAAATCGAAGCTTATTTGAGAGCGATAGATATCGTAACTGGAACGCCAGACGATCCAAAGACTTTTGCATTCTATTTTGTCCGCCACGTTCCTCCATCTCCGTCCAATCTCCTCTGGATCATTACCCTCCATGCCGAAGTTGACTGTCATTCCATCAATCAGGATGTGTTGTTGTTTTCGAGCGTTAATCTTTTCCAGAAAGGAACCGACAGTTATTCTATCGCTTCCGAAAAGTTTGGCTGACTCCATTACTGTGATTTTTGATTTGAATTTATGCGAGGTATGCCACTTTCCCATGTCAGAGCTCAGCTGCCCCCCTGACATGTTGACGATGATGACCGATTCCCCTTTTTTTGCCAGTTTCTGGGCTCTCTCGAGAATGAGTCGTGTCTTGCCTGTACCTGGACCGCCGACGAGGAAAAGAACGTTTCGTTCTTCCAGTAGGATCATGCTCTGATGAGGAGTAAGAATATGTAAAGCACTCTTCATCCTTTTGCCGATGTCCTTGCAGAGGTCCTTCGCTGTCCTTGGTATTCCCTCCATGGATGCTGTAGCTGCCACGTATGTTCTCATCACATCTAAGTAGCATTCCTTCACTACAGGATTTTGCACATCTTGCTTCGTAAGTGTTATCCCATTTTCATGAAGAAATTTTCTAAATACATCACGTGATTCGAGATCGTCTTTCGTCAAAATGTTCTTATTGCAGTCGCACAAAAGGGATTTTGTCAGCTTCTTTCTCGATAGGAAAGGGAATGCAACAAAACTGCACATGAATGTGCAAGAAAAAGCTGTCTTCCCAAAAATCTGTTGGAAAACACGGTTGCCCTGGCTTAGCTTATACTCGGCCTTTCCAACAAGGTGGTTCATGGGGTATTGCGCATCTATTCGCTCTCTGCTCTTGACCTCGAAAAAAAGTGCGACAACTCTCTTTCCATCCAATACTATTCCAAATATGTCATGTTCACCAGGTAAAATATCTATCCCTTTGCTTTTCCAATATCCTTTCCAAAATGCCGAAGAGCCCCTGCCGGTGATCCCCATTGATCTGTAGAACGTTGTGGCGAAGTCATATTCATATGTGACAAAACTGGGAAAGTTAATTAGTTCCTCCTTGAGGAAGTTGAAAAGTCTGGCTACCGCTCTGGACTCGTGAGGAATTCTTATATATCGCCCAGCTTCCTTGTTTGGCCCTGCCTTCTTCATTCCATCAAACAATTTTTCTTGAACCTTTTCTTTGAGAAGGTATCCAGCAGGGAATGAGTAAAACCTCTCCTCTGCCATTGGGTAAAACTTTTTCTGATACTCTTTGGCACCTTCAGGGAAAGGTAGCTTTTCGTAGTCAGCATGAGGGACTTTCGTCCTCCGGATACGCCGCGGGTCTTCCTTTTCAAACTTTTGCAACTGGCTCAATGTCGCAATCTTCTTAGAGTAATCACACTTGTGCTGAAACTCCTTAAACTTTTGATGTTCCCTGGTAAAAGGAATAGTGAATTGGCGTTAAGGTCCTTCATGCATGGACACATATCGCGTAGAAAGTTGGTGGAAACACATTTCCTTCTAATTCATGTACAATAGAAACTCCCTCAATCCTTCAAGGAAATTGCCAAATCAGAATTTTAGAGTAGGCGTTAGATTTAGTTGGAAAGAATGAACGTGACGTGCATGGAAGTTACTAAGTTGTAATCGTTAGCTGATTGGAAATATTTAATCACTATAAAACTCATTAACTCTGAAGCCTATCGGTAAAGGTGGTGATGACAAAGAAGACTTACGAGAGGAAGTTTCCGCAGTAATCCAGGCTGAGGAGAGTGTCAGTGTCAATGTCCACGTCGATTCTTCTCTTTACCTGGATTTCCAGGTGTCCTTCTTCTTGCATTGTACTCCAAACCTGCTGGTGATCTGGTAGGCAGTCAATGATGAAAAGATTCATTCGCGATCTGGAGATGCTTTCCAGAAGCCAGGCATCATCCACATTTACAGCGATGGAAACACTCGATTCACATCCACGAAAGTCTTTTGGGTGAAAAAACTTCGGTTTATTTTTATGGTATTTGCTGAATGCCTGAAGAAAGTATAGCAGCTTCTCATCCGATACTAGCACGTGGATTGGTTCGCCTCCCATTTCTTGGTCAAGGGCAAAGCGGAAACAAAAAAAGGCGCCCATATAAGGCATACAGTGTGTTTCTCCCTTGCAATCATACTTCAGGTGACGGCCAGGACATTTGTATTTCATCGTAATGTGCATGGGTTTTGGGCCAAGGACCAATGCACCCGATCGGGAGGCAGTGGGAAGATTTTTCGCTTCCAATTTTAATGGCGTATGAGTCTCATTCTGAGAGATGTGCTTGAGAACTATGTCGCTTGTGCAGTGGGACAGGGACTCAGGTTCGGGGAGTATGATCACTTCAAAGTCTCTTTCCATAAACATGGATTTTAGGTCGTTGATAGATATTTTTCGACCGCCCCTCGAGTGGGACTGGAAAGCGATCGTCAACGTCATTTTCTGAGGCTCCTTTTCAATTTCGTCCAAAACTTCAGTCCAGTTGCGAAATTCTTCCTCCATGTTCTTAGCTTGGATACGATAATCATCAACATGAATGTGGATAGTTGCTTCAGGATACATGCACCGTTCTACCTCTAGCTGGGCGTTGTCGACTATGTCCCGAGGAGAGCATGATTCTGAGAAAACTATGTTCAGAATTCTGCCACGTTCTTGGAGAAGATGGAGCGAAACTTTCCGACTGAGCGGGCTCCCAAAATGGAGAAGAAGAGCGCGATGTTTTTGGGGATCTTCGTTAGCTAAGCGCTGAATGCTCTCGCACAATAACTCGCTCTTTCCCGAAGAAGGAGGCCCCAAAATGACAGTGGATTGCGGCTGTTTTGTTTTGAATCGCGAAGCGTATCTGGCAACGCCAGAGGGTAAACTTCCCAGCTTCTCCAGAGAAACAGTCATTCGGTGAAATTTATTCTCATCCAACTGTGCCATCACCTTCTCATCGAGCTCCTGGGCCCTTTCCATGTTCTCAGTCAACTTTTCATGGAACGCTTCATCATCAAGCAAATTAACTCCAGTAGAAACGTTCATACCCATTATAGGGAAATATTTCCCTGTTCGCAGACCGTCTTCTTCCATGACAATGGTGACGTTTTCGCAGCATGAAGATATCATGCGGATATAATTTCTCCACTTGGTCTCGGCCAGATCCATAATGACAACCATACCACCCTGATGATATCCCAAAATCTGGTAATCGATTACTAGTAAAATGGAAGAATCTTGTTTTCCACGAAATCTTCCCCACGAGTCGATGAATAAAACATGTTCGCCGAATGAATGTTTAAATGTGTTTATCAAACAATCCCGTCGTTCCCTTGAGTCCACCACCACATGCAAGAGCTTTTCACTCTCAGCATTTTCACGAATTCTCAGTATTGCTATGCAGGATCTCACTGCTTCGCAGGTCCATTTCCTCTGGCAGGCATCATGGATGGTATGACATGGAGGAATAGGAAACAGGACGGGGATAATTTTATTTTTTGGGTGCCCGAATTCCATGCCTCGCATAGTAGGTTCTTGACATATAAATATCCGACGAGAATAATCCGCCAGAGCCAAGAATAAATCCGACACATATCTTGTGTTTCGCTTCACCACATTCAAAAATTTAATGCCGAAACCTGCAATGCGAATGCTTTGTAGGTTGATGTCCTTCGTATAGGTGGCATCATTAGGGCGAAATGCCAAGGTGAGACTCCGAACAATTTTCTTGATGCGGGATGTGGATATCTTCGCCCAGTGCTGGGAGAGACGCATTTCATCTAATTGACCGTGGATACCCAGAGTGAGAGGGACTTCATCGAACATAACATGTTTCCCCCTTCCGTTCTGCTTTAAGAAGTCAATGATTCCTTCACACGTCTCAGGAATGCTCGCCTGCATCCCATCTATCACCAGGATATTTTCAATTCCTGCAAGGATGCCCAAGAATATTCGACATCTCATTAACCCAAGCCAGAGACATATTTGAACCCGCCAGAACCACATGCAAAGTATGAACGAACATATCCAGATCGGCGCATTATTGGTGTTATACACTTTGAAAGAAATTTCAATACAGGATCGGCTTGGAGGTGCCTTAAACTGGCCTCATATACTACTAACGAGTTTGTTAGCCCTTCGGGCAAACTAACTGGCGTAGCGAGCCTGAAAAGTCTGAAACCTCATGGGATCCCGATATATTGTAATCCAACAACCTTAGCCTGGGGCTGTGGTTCCCCTCCAGATTAAAGCTCTTTGAGAGAGCGCACTCTTAGAAGGTTTAATGGCGACGCATATTTACTAGCTCTACGCTTATTGTCTCATATTTAACATTCATTTGGGACTGATACGAACGTTGGAGTAATTTTATTATTATTTGAGTGTGAGTGAAAGAGAGGCTGTCATCTAAGAACATATTGATAGTAACAACTGACCTTGGAATTCTTGCAAGTAGTGTTCTGTGAGATATCCTCCAGGAAGATTCACCACTACCACTTCAGCACTAGGCTCCTCCTTCAGAAGACGCTTTGCTCTTTCTTTTACGACAATAGTCTTTCCTGTGCCTGACCCTCCTGCTATGAGGAGGAGCCATGCTGAATTATCATCTACCAGTCTCTTTTGCTCTGGTGTCAATAAGCAGAGTGTTTTTTTCAAATGAGCGTAGCTGATTTCGGAGTGCTTCAGACGAGTCCTTGGCATAAAGTCAACTGAGGAAGATGCACAGACGTAAATGGAAAAAATTTTTCGGAATAGTTCCTCTGCATCTCGTGTGCATCCAGCATTCGTTGAGGGTAGCTCATCAATGCCGTTAGATTTGAGAAAATCTTGAAAATGATCTCCAGAGTCAAGATGATCACTTGTCATGATCTTCTTTATATGCGACTCACATTTTAGGAATTCACGCAATTCTTCTCTATTGATGAAGGGGAAGACTGGGAACGCAATAACACATGCAACAGGATCAAGAAGGGACCCGCACACTGTCTGGAATACATTTACGTCATTCACACACGCGATGATCGCCTCATCCATGTGTATCATGCCATTATGAATAAGCTTATGTTTTCTCACTTGGAAGAATATATTATACACGTTATTTTTGGTGGGATAAGACAAAAAAATACTGTGAGATCCTTTGTTGAGATCCGGAACTGCCTCCTCCAATCTTTCTCTTTCTCTTGTATTCATCCTGGACAGAGCTTGATTGAATGGTTGCCTGAAGGTCTCGCAGAACTTGTAGTCTGCAACCAACAAGGATGGATAGGAGCCACACATATTTTTAATCCTTTCGAAAACACGAGCAACGGCTTTATGCTCAGGTCTAAGATCCACATCTTCGCCATTTGGCTTCTCAAGTTCTATTTCCCACTGAGAAAGGCGTTCCTCAATATCCGTGTCTTTGAGGAGATAGTCCGACGGTAGAGAATAGTGAGTCTTTCCAGCTTTGGGGTAGTGCTGCTGAAGATATTCCTCAGCTGCTTCCGTGAATGGCTTTTTCTCGCTGCCACCCATGTCTACCTGGAGAGAAAGGTAATAACACACATTTTAGTTAATAATTATTTTCTGACCATTTAAAAAAAATTCATCATCGCACCCGATATGACCATTGCATGGGCATTACTCAAGTTACTCCTCCTGCAGGAAAAGTGATTGATTCACCCATAGATTGATGCATTAATGAAGCACTTAAAAACTGCTGTCTGTCTCCTTGTCTAATAGAGCACACGGCGAGAAGGAACAACGTTCCAAAATTCTGAGGAAATGTACTACATGACCTACAAATCTCATGGCGCTGATTTCGCCTTCACTGGAGATAGATAGCACGCCTTGGGGATTTTCGGCTGGAGGGCCCACAGTGCTGGTTTGGAACCGAACTCAAACCTGTGGCATTTCAAAGTAAATTCCTGTCGGTATGACTACAATGAAATGAAGCTCACACTGACCTGGAGGTAGTCACGAACATCAGGTCTCTTCTGTCCCTGACACTGCGTGGGAGTGGTCACTTCCTTCAACCTTCTGAACCTGTATTCGCATTCCTTCTGACACCCGTCCAAGCCCTGAATGCGTAGGGGGCAGTTCATTTTAGCTTGCTAATGTAAAGGCTGAGTACGCATTATTGAAGAAAGCATGGTTGATTAGCATACCATTTGAGGACAGTATTGAAACAACGTTTCTGAGAAGTCTATGCTTCAGGGCATCAAATGCACCAGGGCACGTATTATATGAACTTTATTCTTTGAATATTCTTGCATTGAAAAGTAATTGTACAACATTGATATATTTTCCCTCCCCCCTTACGTCTTAGGTTTATAACGTATGCTTAAGTTAACTTGTTCACGTATATGGATGATCGAGCTTTGTTCAATTTTACACTTATGTTTTACTGCATAGTGGTTTTCATTTATTCCATACTTGATAGCATCACCAGGGACTCGAGGCGATATTGTGTGGATATTTGAAAAATTATTTTGCAATTTGGCATGGGCTTGATGACTACGGATGATAGATGGATGCTACCAGAGAAATGGACCCAATTGCTCAGAATGTCAGGCTACATAATGCTTTGAATGAATGATAGCATTAATCGGTCCAGAATGAAAAATGTAATTTCGCGAATTCCATCATATAATTTCAATAAACAAGAATATAGAAACATAAATACCAACCTGATTAAAAGTGGTGCCTCGACCGCTTGGATGAATTTCTTCTCCCGCTTTTCCATCTGGCCTTTGCTTTGTCTTGTTACTGAGGGAAGACAAGAAAATGTATCCGTGAATCTCCCCCAAGGAGCATGTTTATGTAAACAAGATATCAAACCTTTAAAAACGATGTAAATTTCTTGCGATTGCACGATAATGACATCACGTTTGCGCAAAATTTACGTTCCTATATTTAAGTCAACAAAGTGTACGTGTATTTTACGTAAACTAGACGTCACACTATTTGACGTGAAGTACATGATATCAGGTTTATGCAAAATTAACGCCACACCATCCATATGAAACTTTAGCTGACCATCCTGCAGTTACAGTACCAATATTCCTCACTAGATGGAACCCTTGTTCCCTGCATCCTAAAATTGCTATTAAGTACTGGTTTTCCTGATATAGTATCAGGTTTTCTTACCATCCTTTTACTTTTTATTATGCAATCCACGAATATTGATATATATTTATGGGAAACATGAAATTATTATATATATTTTATAATATATGACTTAGGGAATCATTAAATGCTGAAGTTAAGCTTTTTATTACAGCAGTGCAAGGGATTAGGGAAGAGCAGAATCCCAGCCTCACAAGTACTACATCTTCTTTATCCTAAAAGGAAGAGAGCTCCTTTGAACATCTACTCCTCCTCCCGAGGTTCCGGTACGGGAGGAGGAAGCAGTTGGTCACTTTGGTACTCTTGAGTGCTGGTGATATTGAGTACTCGACCAACCACCCTAGAGTTCTGAAGAACGTAAGGGAATAGGAGATTCAGTATGTCAATTCTCTTCAATGCTACTGATTGGCTCGTTAAATGCACATGAATGCGAAGGGAAAATTACCATAAATCTTACGTAAAATGAATGGAAACAGGCTGTTTGGAATGCAAACGGGAATGTTAATTTTACGTAAAATTTACGTTAATTTTATATCACCGTTTACGTATCACAGAGGTGACATTTCCGCAAACATGTTGACATTTTCTTGACAACGGTTTGCGTAAAAATGATATAAAATGGACAAAACTTTTACATACATTTTACGTAAAATTAACATAAACATGCTGTTTGGGCCCCTTTCTCCATGGCTCTAAGCATCCTGCATAGGCATGCCCTAATATAGAGAACTGGGGCCTGAAACCATCTCTCCTATGATATTATCGCATGTTTTGTCTCCAAATTCCCTACTCTCTGCTCCTCAGCATATTCAGGCAGTAATTAGAAGAGTAACTTAATGAGAATATTGCCAAGAATAGCTTGAAAGAAAACAATCGCAGTACTCTATCAGACTCCTTTTTCACTCATATTGGGTTCACAAAAACAGGCATCGGATGACTACTTTACTGACAACCAGGGAGCATTATGTACTGAAGTCTGTTCCTTTTCTTGTTCTTCGTCATCGTCATCACTGGGAGAATTCCCTTTAAGCGAAATGATGAACGGTTCAAGTGTCTCCTCCATGCCTTGGTTTAAAATATAACATTTCTTCTTCAAATCCTCACAATGTGCCACATGCTTTTCCGAGTCCGATGCTGTGATCCTATCGCACACTTCGTTTATTTTATGGCAATACTCGATAGACGTGAAGAGGGAATCAAGTTTGGCCACGTAGGCATGAGACTTCCCCTCACCATCTCTTTGGGATTGAAAAGGCAGTGATGAGGTTGTAAACGAACAACTTCGTGCCCTGCCAGCTCAGCAACGTGATCAACGGTATCCACTCGCTCCATGTTTTACCCACTCTTCTTGATATAAAGGAGTGTCGATTTTACTGGAGGACGATTAGGTACAGAAATGCCCTTCTTATGCATGTAACTGATGATGTCACTCTTCAGGGATTATTGTGTTGGTGGCTTCTCGAGGATTCTTGTGTTAAGGAGCATTGTCCATCACAATGTTTGTATCTGAGGGAAGTGCTGGAACTAACCGACCCTAAAACCATTTTTCGAACAATCATTCATGTCATCGTGGTATTCCATGCAGGCACCTGTCAAACTCATCATTGAGACCATCAAGCATCCATTCATACACCCAGCTTTTCTCCCAATTGGAAGTATACGAAGGCGTTTTCCATTTGTGACCGGAACATCCACGATGCACTGGTCAGAACCGTCACTCCAGTGTTTTGATGGAACAGTGTGGGTATCGAACTAGGGGTCGTGCAGATATATTCAATACAATATATTTCCCTCGCGCTCTCACCTGGTCTATATGCCTCAGGAAACGATCCTGAAGCGCCACAATTCGAGGTGCTTCCTTAATCACTTTCCGGCGATTGTACACACGGTACCTGATACACACGGCCAAGATGTTTCAGAAGACTATATAGCATTCTCATTTCATAAATAAATACATCAGGAGTTCCAGCTGTGCGTGTTTTCAAGCGATCGAAAAGCATGTCTATGGTAATAATGGCCTTTTGAAGTAAAATAACGATTCGTCTCACGAAGTCAAGGTGAGAGAATCCAGTTTATAGAAGCGTCCGGATGACCGTCATTTGTTTGAAGAGGTTTTACGAATATCTTCAGAGGAAATGATCTCCGCAGTCTTCCTCTTTCCAATTCCAGTCGCATGTGAAGTTCTTTGATTTGTTGAAGAGACTATCCGGAATGGTTGACCTTTTCCTTTCTCTTTCCACTAATTGATGGAAATTCTTCACCTGACTTTACTGAGTTACCTGACTTTGAATGGAGATTCTCTGTTTGAAAGGGTGAGGAGAGACATACTCTTGGAGTCGTGAGCGTGATGGAGAAAGGTTCAGTCGATGAATCTCTGTCCAGAATTTCACCCCTCAAAACACTTCTTGGAGGTGACAGAAGTTATTATGATGATCGCGGTGACTCTGTGGTGGTTCCTGGTCTATTACAGGTACGTAATTTCTTCGCGTTGCTTCACACCATGGGCGCCAAAGTCAGACGAAGTAGAGGTGCATGTGCTTCCACATGAATATAATGACCGACTGGTAACCTGAATTTTAAACTACTTGAAGCCCCAACAATCGTCACCTATCACTTCCTTTGCCGTATTTGAAGAGGTCGCAATTAGAAACTCTTGAAAATCCCCTTATCTCTTCTGTCCGTAAATTCTGTGGCATCTTGTCACTCAGTCACTCAGTCACTTTTATTTATTTTATTTATTATATATAATTATTACTTTCTAAACAGGGAAAAACTATACCTAAACAGTTCGAGTGGGTTTACAATTTTGCTTCAATTTTTTTATTCGTCAGTAACGCGTTGATTTTGCGATAGAATTTGATACTGAGTTTTTGTTGGCCCTTGAAATTTTTCGGTATTTTCCACATCACGTGGCATGGCGTACAATTATGAATCTGAAAAAGATTTAATTTATTTTGTATTAGGTGAGGGGCTTCTTCAGGAATTTTTATCCCAAGAACTTATAACGTCATTCATTTAAATAGCTCTTGGCTACACTTCCGATGCTGCTTCCAGGAATATCTTATTATTTAAACTTACAGGGAGGAGTTTTCACTTGCAATATCCGGCACGCCGTCATTCAACGCTTGCCCCTTCTGCGGGTTTTCTCTTGTTCCATCTGAGGCATTTCTTTCGTTCTCAGGCTTACTGTCATCATTCTCCTTGTCTTCTGGTAACACAATATCAAATGCCAATTGAACAAAGGGCCACACTTGTTTCCACGATCAGTTCTTTTTTTGAGGGGGGGGGGAAGAAGAGTCCCAGGCACATCAATAACATATTTACCCTCCACCTTCCGGAACTATGCTTTCCCTTGCTCTTTTGTGATGCCTTTTTCTCTTTTCATAAATTTAATGAACCTAAAATAATGCATGTTCTTTAACTAAGAAACACTAATTCCATAAATAATTTAATATTAGCTTCAGCGCTCTTGTTCACGTCCCGTTCTTTTTCTCAGCGCCACATTTCGAGAATGTATCATGGGCATACAGGGTACATGATGAGACCATCCATGCAATGAATTTCCTTGCAAAAGGACGACCGACAGCATTTTAGGAAGGAGTTACTTATAAGCAGTCCACTTAAGCAGTATTATGGCTTTCCACACTCCGGTGAACCAATGATCATCATGGAACGACATATTATCAATTGCATTCTCATTAGATGCCTATTCACTAGCCAGTGCATCCTCCTCGAGTTTATTTGTTACAATGAGATTTCCCATCCGGGAGCTGGAAAGAGTTGCACAGAATGGATGAAGTTTAGTTTTGACAAATAATTATTCTACTCCTGAGAGATTAATAATATTAGTATTAATAGGCACGGTAGGGTCCACTTCATGCCATTATGAATCAATAGGTAGGACAGTTTCAGCCCAGGCGCCAGTTATTTGAATATAACTACTGAAACGACAACTGATAAATTGATCTCCTGTAATGCAAGAATGTTTTCTTACATTGTGTAATACTACTGTCAGGTTCTCTTCTTGAAATGGAGCGTAGGGTGGGACTCATCCGTCAATAATGGCAAACGAAGAGGCTGACTTTAATCATGGACACCAATCACTTTACTTTTGATTTCTCTGAAGGATTTGTCCATCAGTATAAGAAAGGCACATCATTCGAAATTAGAGATTTTGTTCATTCCGGAGAACGGCCTCCGATAACTGCTTCCGATGAAGAACTTCTTTTCCGTAAATATGATGCGACTAATTGCTGCTGAACAAGAATCTCAGAGAACACTAAGGTGTAACATTTCATGTGACGAATGCAATTGACTCATGCGAACTTGGCAATGATGATGGCATTTTCAATTTCATTCCTGCAATTAAGATTTTAAGATGTAAGAGAAAATTGTTCTAAACAGCAATTTTAAGAGATTCATCAACAGCTGATTATCAAGAGAGACTTAATGAAATCATCGGTTATCAAAAATGTTTCAAGAGAAATGTATCGCTGCCATGTGTTAGTGTTATTTCAAATTGACTCTAGTATATGATTAATTACAGCGATAATAAAAATAAAAAATTTCATGAAAGGCAAAAATGTGCAAGTCGTCTTGGTGAAAAGCTCCAGTTAATAAAAGTGCTTTGAGAAAATAATGTATTAACTCATGAGGGTGGCGCTGTTTCAGAACTTCTCGAAAGGTGGCGCTCCTTTGACATAGCTGTTTTTATTATTTTTTTTGCTAGTGCACAATCAGGAAAAACTCCATCGTCAGATTCCAGCTAAAAATGTAAGACCTGCATGTATTAGTTCATTTCAATTTGTAAAAGGCTTGGAGAGAGGAGAGAACCTTGAGAGTTTCATTGACTTCGTTAAACAATATTATTTCATTACAATAATAAATTTAAAAACTTTCCCGTAGATATTGCAACCACTCCAAATTTTTCCTATGATAGTGAATGACGGCTCACCCAAAGCCTTGAGAAGCCTCGATATTATGTCTTCTCTCTCCATTTCCTGGAGAATTTTCAAAACACTCTCGTATGTCGGCTTTGCATTTCTTGCAAAGAGGATGAAAAAAGTATCATCGATCATTTTCATATGTTCCTTGGCTCTCAGGTCCCTTTCCTCTTGCATTGAAATTAGTTTATTCTTCGCCAATTTATCCAGGAAGACGCCCATATTGACGAGTCAAAGAGGATGAAAAAAGTATCATCGATCATTTTCATATGTTTCTTGGCTCTCAGGTCCCTTTCCTCTTGCATTGAAATTAGTTTATTCTTCGCCAATTTATCCAGGAAGACGCCCATATTGACGAGTATCTCCCCGTCCTTGAATATGATTTTCACGTTTTGCAATGCGAAAGAAGAATCCATACCCCTGCATAGAGGACAGCAAAGGTTACAACGAAAAAGGGACTACGTTAATGGCGTTTGAATACGGTGTCACTTGCCCCATTTTCAAAGCAGCACTCATCTCGGAAGCATATTTTTCCATGATATTCCTTTTTGTAAGGAAGTATGTCTGTTTCAAAAAGGGAAGGGCGGATGACGGATAGCTGCTAAATAAATCGTCCATTAACCCTTGTGATTCAATGCAACGCATTGTACCATGAATTAAGAAAAAATGAATGTAAGAATAATTGCAAATCATTCCTTCAAAACATTATCAATGTGCTCACGATCGTACAACTGACCAAATGCTTCCCGAAGCCTCAAGTTGACAATCTCAGATTTCGTAGAAAGAGTTCCTGCTCTAGTAGCATACGTAGTAGTTGGGAGGAGATTGGCCGTCGTCCAGAGTGGGATTCTTTGCGTCTCAGCTTTGAATATGTCCTTTTTTTTCATTCTCTTCTGCAATAGACAAATATTTTGATAATTGTTTCGAGGTACTATTGTTTATTCTAATGCTCTCATCTCTTCTCGGCAATGCAAAGGCAATGACTAAGTCTTCTGAACAGCGCANGTAGAAAGAGTTCCTGCTCTAGTAGCATACGTAGTAGTTGGGAGGAGATTGGCCGTCGTCCAGAGTGGGATTCTTTGCGTCTCAGCTTTGAATATGTCCTTTTTTTTCATTCTCTTCTGCAATAGACAAATATTTTGATAATTGTTTCGAGGTACTATTGTTTATTCTAATGCTCTCATCTCTTCTCGGCAATGCAAAGGCAATGACTAAGTCTTCTGATGTCGCGTTTTAATAAGTTAGGTCTCGTCTATATCGAGCAGTTAGAAAAAAAGCGAGTCATAAAGAACGGTCCTAGTACCGATCAATAAATAGAGACCGAATGCGGCGGATGGTCTAAGGAATTTCAACATTAGGATTCTAGCCCGAGGTCCCAAAGGGCTCTCTGGGGAGGATTGAGGGAGTCGGCCTCTGCGCTGTTTCAGGATTGCAACTTTAAAGAGGAATGTTGTAATATGGTATACTCCGAACATCATACCCTGAAGGTGAACACTTGAAACATTACACTTACAGGGAAAGGATCGCTGAAATATCAGGAATGAGGGATGTTTCCAACGGAACCACTAAAATAGTGCCTCCAGAATCCATACGACCACGTTGATATCCCACCACTCTCGACGTCTTATAGATGTGAGCCAATGAGTCACGACTGTTACTTCGTTGATGGAATCATGTTCACTGCTGACAATACTCGTTGTAAAGGGGAAGCTTCATCATCAATGTGCAGGTCTCATAACTGACTTTCATTTCCAAGAATCGTATTCCTCGTCAGATAAGCCTTATCCACTAGATAAGAGCCGTATTTCCACGATTACTTGGCTTTTATGGTTCCATGACATCCATCCAATCGTTAGTCTATTGATAAACCATTCATTCCTCTCTCTGCTAGGGTTGTCATATTGAATAATCATTCGGAGTGACACCTGCTCGCTGGGCGGGAGGAAGGAGTACGAAACATTATGCAACGCGTGCGGGTCTTTTTGATAGGAGTACGAACCAATGTGTCGCTAATGCGTAACATCATCCGGCAGGAATAAAAGGAAACAGGGAGCACTGTAACAATCACGTAAAAAATTTCGCCTCCATCGAATCAGCGTTTAGCAAGATATGTCCCTAACCCTCTGCCTGACGTTGTCATTGACCTCAGAAACGTGTTCTCAATAGTCTCAAATGTGTGTCCCAAATATATTATTTATCTATGAATGAATAGTATTCAAATGCAAGTGTTTGAACACGCCAAGAAATCCGTATATATGCTCACGGATTGCCAATGCTGTACAAGGTGTCCCTTGGTTTGAGTGAAATTCAAACGATTTATAACCTTTTATGACAATTCCACTTGGGCACTATTCGTGGTCTTATATACGTCCAAACGATGTTCGAATTCACATCACACCCCATGCAAAGTGTATTGCGCACACATCTGGATAACTGCGACATTTCTGTTCTTCAGATCTTGGAGAATGTTGGCTTTTCTTGAGTCAGCAATGTCCTTGACATACTCCCGCAATAAAATTTTCAAGAGGGATGGGTTCAGGTACAAAAATAGTATTTTTTTTCCACGGTGTTGCAACTTCACATTTTAGCAAACTTATAAACGACAATTTTCTGATCTGCGGATTGGACGGAGAAGGCCCATTCCAAAGCTACAAAGATCACCTAAACTAATCACAATGGGGTTTTTCCTGTGGGCCTTGTCAAGGCCATAGCTTACTAGATATAAGTGAAGAATCGATCAAGATCTAAAGAGCAGAATCGTCCCAGCTATCCAGACAGGTATGTCTGACACTGCATAAGGTGTACTGAGAGCTGGAACTTGGATATTTGGACTCGAGAGCTTGGATATTTACAGGATCACAAATAGTGTCCATGTGAAAAGACAATAAGCGGTTGACAAACGTTTCAATTGCACTTTCTTTTACTGTTTTAATAATTTAAATTTAGGTGTACTTTAGAGAGATTCTAATTTTAATACATTTCCATTTATTTTGGGACATCCTGTATATGTGATAAATTCAGAATGAAATCTCAGGTGATCGCCGAGTAATGCTGTCAGCATGCTGTCGCTAATGTTCACCACTAAAACTATACAGTATGTTATAAACATATTTTGAAGAAGTAATGCTAATGAAACTGTAGAGGCTACGATGAGATTCCATACCCGCTCCAGAACAGACACAGTAACAGGGCACGCACCAAGGAGAGAGACTTCTCGGCTATGGATAGGGAAATGATGTGTGCCGGGATGCATATACAAACATCATTTGATGTCTGAAGGCCGTGGAGTGAGGCCCGTTGAGTATGTCGACACGGTGGTCCAAAAGTCGCGATAGGACCTACTCTTTGCTGTAATATAACTTGCAAAGTTTCATGTTTTTAACAATGCTTGTTTTCTGGCACGTTAGTTTGGACTGTTTCCTTTAGATTACCCATATCTCGATGTTGCTCAGCCTACCTACCGTGCGAACTGCATGCAATTTGAAACGTGTCACTATGCAATTTTTTTTCGTTGTTGCGTGCTCCATGGGTACAGACACAAGTGCATTTACTACTGAGGAGCGTATTGTTACAAGTGTGTGGGTCCATGAAAAAGGACCCAAGGGGGAATGTTAGGTAACATATTTATTTAGGTTTCGTTGCACGTTTTGGGCAAAATGCACCAACTTAAAAGAATTTCCCTAAATCGGTCAATACTTGAACTTGACAGATTTGGCTTGATAGACACCGTCGTGTTTCTGCAAGACCGTGCTACGGCACATTGATCAGCTTCAGTGAGAGATTTTCAGAATGAAGAGTTTCCGTCATGGATTGGACGATCTTGACCTCTCAACTGGCTTTCTAGGAGTCTAGATGTCACCACATATGACAAATTTCTCCGCTTAATCGTGAACAGCATGATATCCGCGTCCGAAGATCTCTTTAGATTATGAATGGATCACGATCATGCCTTCAAATGGCATCACGACGCACTTGGCCTCGAATGGCTTTGTGTATTGAAAACGATTGAATCCATGCAGAAGTTTTTGAGTTTTCAAGCAAGATTTAGAAATGAAAGTAGTGATAAGGAAATAAAATGAGAATTTTAAAACTGATCGTGATTTTTGGACCACCCAGTAGAGTAGTGTGCGCGATGGGAGCGAGCAAAGGAGAAGGAAACACACATCTTGATGGCTCTAATGCCTTCCCTGCTCAAGTGACTCCTTCGGCTTCATCGTAAGAAGTCTACCATGGGAGCGTCAACTATACCGAAAGAGACCAGCAGAACCATCAACAGCCCTTTTTTCGCACCTCTTGCGGGAGCTGAGCCAGACTCACAGGTCGCGGGAGGAGCATGACCTGAAGGGGACTAGGAGCGGTGGCGGCGTGAGTGGGAAACAACCTGAAAACTGATAACTGTAGCTGTCAATGAAGTAGATATTAGTGGTTCCTGGGATGAATGTAATTGCATGGCATATATTTAACCTTTTGTGTATTTCCCTCGAAAAGTTTATGAAAACTTCCAGCAAAGCAGTAAAAGGAACCTTTATTAATTTCTAGTTACTAATGTTTTTATTGGGCAGTGTTCAAGACGAAACGGAGAAGCAACTTTGAGAATAAAGGTTCTTACATAGTAAACGAATATATGATGACTGATTTAATTCACTTATTTATTTGAGATTGGAATGCGACTCGACAGGAGGCAAACCAAAACCATGATGTCCAACTTCCGAAGTACATTCATGTGAAAATGTACAAAAAGTTAATCGTTAATAATTCGGCTTAACAATTTGCAACGCCAAATAATACCGAAGTACAAAAAATAATGTATAAACCATTTTTCAATGATTTACGTATCTTCAACAAAACCCCAACCTCAACCATAACCTTAACCTCAACCTCACCTCACCTCCCCTTTCTTTACGGAACGCATTACCGTTAGGCCTAAGCCTAACGGGATTCTCTTCGGGTCAGGCCTAGGCCTACCTTTTTGTGCAAAAGAAATTCAATCCTGGACTTACTAGGCCAATTACGCCAATAAGGATTTATTCCTGGTCTTTGAGAACTCGTCGAGAACGAGTGACGTTAAGCCAAACGTGGGCCTATTCATTCTATCGTGGCCCTTTAAGAGAATACGTGTAACGTTAATTTCGAGGTCAATTTCAAGTTTCATGAACAATTTCGGTGTGGATCAGGAACGATAGGCGTATTTAGAGTTATTCGGGTTGACAAGTTTTGAGTAGAAAATGCCTCATGGAATACAACCCGGGCGCCATTGTTAACTTACGGACACCCGAATGAGATATCTCCACGTCCCCCAACCTAAGCGATCGGCCACTGCTAGCCACCATTTCAATACCGGTTCATCTCATGAACTCGACACAAAATTATCTCATACATTAAAGAACAGAACATCCAGATAAACATACTAAGGCCGAATAAGTAATGAATCTGGCATATCTTCGGTACGTCATCCGGCAACGCTGGAGGACGGGACCGGAGCCATCGCGCTAAACCTTAATGGCATTTTTCATTTTTTCATTTTTTTAAATGGCAAAATGGTGCAAAGGAAGCCATAAAAAGGACACTTCTTGTATCCTACAAGTCAATATCTTTCGTTTGGTTGGTCTCTTTCCTCTGAAAACTTCCCAGGAGTGGCTACCATGGGAGCAAAAAATACGGCAAAGAATTTTATATCTCCGGAAAGCCAGATTCAGTGATCTCCACAACAAGGGGGAGATGGAGCTTCAAATTTGCTGAAGCGATTCTGTGTTGAGAGAGGACGAAGTATGTCAACTTTCGTTCCTGTTGATGTTCTTAGAAAGGAACGCGAGACGGTTGAGTTTTGTTGCAGAAGGGGTTGCAGAAAGGTAAAAGCCACTAACAAAGTATATTAATCCCCTTTATAATGGAGAAAACTAAGGGTTCAGCCTATTTCATGCCGGAATATTTTATTCAAGCCTGTTAAACATGTAGCGTGCGCGATCCTGACATCTATCTAGGAGGAGCGACAATTGTCTTTGTGCGGGTGTGACAGCTCTCCAAGTCGAACGCTTCGAGATATGAACTCGAAGATTCGACAGAACTTTTCTTATCATCTGAAGATGTGCCTTTATGAAATGAAATTTGCAAATCAGCCACGCGACAGGGAAGGGAGGCAACTTTCACGGAAGATCGGGAATTCACTCTCGTTTCGCCACCTCTCGGATGAAGGAGGAGACGAGTATTGCCAGTGTAGTCGCAGGGGAACGCTGGCATCCTGCACTGTATTGCCTCCTACCTTGCTGCCGTGAATCAATGTGCTTTAAAGCGTCCATGATGAAATACGGAGCGATTCGTCGGTTCGTCGCTACTCGCGTTCACACGGCCCCGCAAAGAAGTCAATCACCGCAGTTTCCTCTTGGGTGTCCATCCCTCAAAATCCTGCAGAATTTCAGAATTGCATAATGACATGCTCTTTTCACTGCTTACATCATCTTCCATCCTTTGTAAGCGCTCATTAACGACGCAGCGAAGCCGACGAATGCAATAGTTCTTCAAAGGTTGCATTATTTTTCCGTGTCGTAGTCGCAATGGTAAATGATAAAAAATTAAAAGTATAATCTATTGCACCGAGAGTTTGCAATGAAAGAAAGGTGATTCGGAAATCGTGACGGTGCTGTTTGCTGCATCTTCCCTGTCCTCCTCCATTCGTATGAGCTGATGCACGATGCTAGGCGCTTATGTTTCTGAGACTAGGACTCATCCACATTTTGGTGCTTCATTTCCCA